ATACTGCTCCAAATAACGCTTAACCACCTCCGTCTGTCCATCAGTCTGCGGGTGGTATGCCGAACTTATCCGTAATGTGGTCTGAGCCAAAGCGAACACCTCCTGCCAGAATCGACTCAAGAAAATGGAATCCCGGTCACTGACAATGGACCTCAGGGAACCCGTGGTGACGCACCAACCCCAACACAAACTGCTCAGGCACTGACCGAGCGGTATATGGGTGTGCCAGACCCATGAAATGGGCGTATTTCGTCAGTCGATCCACGACGACAAACAGGACCGTTTTCCCTCCGGATGGCGGTAGCCCGACAATGAAATCCATGCTAATGTCCTCCCACACCCTCTCCGGCATCGGTAGCGGTTGCAGGAGACCTGCCGGGCGCAAATGGGATGCCTTGATCCTCTGACAAGTGTCACAAGATGCAACATAGTTCTTCACATCCCGACCCATCTGGGGCCAGTAAAACTGCGCCCGAAACCGCCGCAGTGTCCGCTCTACTCCTAAATTCCCTCTAAACGGAGAGTCATGGAACTCCTGTAATACAGTCGTCACCAAGGAGGATCCTCGGGGAAGCACCAGGCGCCCGCGGAAGAACACCAACCTTTGCCGAAAGGAGTAATGACCGGGGTATTCGCTAACTGTTGTATCTCAGCATCCCCGCAGATACTCATCTGTCTCAGTAAAAGCTCGCAGGGCGTCCCAAAACTGGGGTACTGGCCCCGTGACCGTCGCCAGAATCTCACCCCCGGGCCGCCTCGAGAGCCCATCAGCCACGACATTAGATGGTCCGTGCCGGTAGTGGATCTCATAAGCATACCCCAGGAGCTTGGAGACCCATTTGTGCTGATCGGGAGTGGAAACTCGCTGCTCCAAGAGATTCCTCAAGCTCTGATGGCGGTATAAATGTGGAATTTTTGTCCCAACAGATATGGTCGCCACATCTGCACTGCTGTGATGATAGCATGCATCTCCTTCTGGTAGGTGCACCAAGCTTCCTTGGATGGAGCCAAGGTAGGGGTGGGCATTCGGTCGGTTCGGTTTCGACCGAACCGAAATTATGAATACCGGGTCCCCGAATTCTCCCAAACCTCAAACCGAATTCGAACCGAATTATAATTCGGTTCGGTCGGTTTAAACCGAATTATAATTCGGTTCGGTTTTTCACAGAAAACCGAATTTGTAAGGCTACTTGTATTTTCTCATTTTTAAATTATTTTTCATTCCTAATATAAACAATAAATATGTAATTATATGCATCATCAATGAAAAATCAAACTTTTCAACACATAAGTCATAAAATATTTCAAATATTTAAGTCTAAAAACAACTACAAACATAAAAATCCACCATTTGAAGCTTACAATTATAGTATTTCGGTTTTTCGGTCGGAAATTCGGAAATTCGGTTCGGTTGAAAGAATCTTGGTTTCCGAAATATCCATATTTCCCTTCCGAATTTCGAACCGAATAACATTATTTCGGTTTCGGTGCGGTTTAATTCGATTTCGGTTCGGTTCGGTTCGGGTTTACCGAACCGGTTGCCCACCCCTAAGCCAAGGTCTTACTCATGAAGGCCATCGGGTGCCTATCCTGAGATAACACTGCCCCAATGCCCATGCCAGACGCGTCTGCCTCAATCACAAATGTCCGAGAGAAATCCGGCATAACCAGGCCAGGGTGGTGGTCATGGCCTGCTTCAACTAGCAGAATGCGGCTTCGGCCTCCGGGGTCCAAGCAAACCCGCCCTTCTTCAACAAATTAGTCAAGGGCCGGGCAATCATGCTATACCCCTGCACAAACTTCCGGTAATAACCTGTCAAACCCAGGAACCCTCGCAGCTCGGTGACAGTCGTCGGAGTTGGCCACTCCACCATGGCCTGGATCTTCTTCTAGTCCACCTGTACCCCCTGAGGCGTGACAATGTGACCCAGATACTCCACCTTCTGGACCCCAAAGGCGCATTTTGAAGCCTTGAGGTAGTACTGATGCTGCTGCAAAATCTCAAACACAGCCTACAAATGCAGCAAATGGGCCTCCCACGACGGACTGTAAATAAGAATGTCATCAAAGAAAACCAGGACGTACCGACAGAGTAAGGGCCGGAAAATGTTGTTCATAGCTGCCTGGAAGGTCGAAGGAGCATTACACAACCCGAACGGCATTACCAGGTACTCATAATGGCCATTGTGGGTGCGGAAGGCTGTCTTGTGCGGATCTTCTTCTCGCATCCGGATCTGGTGGTAGCCGGCCCTCAAGTCGAGCTTCGTGAAATAGGAGGATCCGTGAAACTCGTCAATCATGTAATCCACCGTCGGAATCGGGAATCGATCCTTCACTGTCGCGGCGTTGAGGGCCCGGTAGTCAGTGCAAAACAGTAAGGTCCCTTCCTTCTTCTTAACCAGAAGCACCGATGAAGAGAAAGGACTAGTGCTGGGCTGGATCAACCCGGTGGCCAGCATCTCATTAACCTGTCGCTCAATCTCCTCCTTCTGGGAATGGCCGTATCTGTAGGGCCGAGCATTAACAACTTCCACCCCTTCCTTCAACTGGATACGGTGATCCACTTGGCGATGTGGCGGAAGGGTGGTCGGCGCCTGAAAGATCTCAGAGAACCTGTCAAGGACCTGCTAAAGATCCGTAGCCACTTCCTGCGTCTCAGTGGACTCCACGGGCCAACACAGCACGACGAAGTCAGCCTCGCCCATTTCGGTGCAGTCATGGATGGAGATAGGCCCCAGAGCAGTGGTGAGCCCCTGCAACCTCCACCCTTTATCCCGCCATTTAAACCTCATGGTCAGACCCTTCCAATCGGTGGTAGTCGGACCCAAACTCTAGAGCCAGGAAATTCCCAGAATAATATCGAACCCCCTGATGGGCAGTACAAAGAAGTCAGCAGTCACCGGCAAGCCTTGAATCTCAAGGGCAAGCCCGCGGTAGGCTGTGGTACACTGCATAGGCGCACCATTCGCAACCCGAACCACCACCTTCTCCACATCGCTTGCTGCCAACGGTAGGACCTTGGCAAGCTCTTCACTGATGAAGTTGAGCGAGGCGCCGCTATCCACCAATGTCAATGCGGTCATCCCGCCCACTTGATCCTGGAATCGGAGCGTGCCTGGCGTTGGCAGCCCGGTTGCCGAGTTGAGGGACAGAGACACGGCATCGCCGGTCCCCCGCCCCTGGCCACTGCCCTCTTCCTTGCAGAACGACGCCTCCCCGACGGCCGTCGTGGCCCCGACGCGCATGCCGCCCAGCTCGCCTGCCGCCGCGCCGCGGAGTCCTCGCCCGCCTACGCGCTCAGCGCCGTCGCGCCTCCCTCCTTGCACGAAGACCGACCACCAGCCTCGTCCGCCACCGCGCGCCTCGCGCGCTCGTCCACCACCCTGTGCCGAGGGCCTGCGTCCGCCACCCGCTCACGGTGGATCCGCCCCTCCTCCTCCGTCGCTGCTGCTGTCCACCCGCGATCCCGGGCCTCCTTCTTGAGCTCGGCTAATGTGAAGTCGATCTTCTGTCTTATGCGAGCCCATGCCGGACCGTTGAGTTTCGAAGAACTCATGCTGGCTCTGATACCAAATTGTAGAACTGTGTAGGTGAGAAGAGAGTTGAGATTGAGAATTAGGGATTGAGAAGAAGAAGTTTAGGAATTTGAGGGAATTGGGGAAGAACAGGAGAGAAAGATAGAATTAGGGATTTTGATATTCTTATTGCTTAATTCCCAAATGAGTGTACAAAACCCCTTTTATAAGTTTCAGAGAACTAATGGAAAATTACAGAATAGCTACTCCTACCGGGCCCAAGCGGCCGGCCGACCCACCCTCACCCTCGATTTCTATAATAGGCTGGCGGTTAATGCTGAGAATTAGGGACAGGGTTGGTTCAGGGGTTAAATCGTATTGAAACGTCCTGGAAAGTTAAACCTCTTGTTTAATTAATTGGTGCTTAAGTTGCTGGTCAATGGTTCTCTAACCTGTGATTGTTCTTTGGGATGGCACAGCTTGTGGAGGAAATGAGGAGTCATGGCAAGAAGGACATAGAAAAATGGATGAAAAGGAAAAGCAGGAGAGAAGCTAAGGAAGCAGAAAAGATAAAATCCAAAAGGATCAAGCATTCTCATAACAGTAAAGAAGAAAAACAACAACAAGGTGAATGGAGTGATGTAACAGAAGAACACAGCCTCCTTGAAAGCCCCTGCATTCCTTGGATTCTGTCAATCCTTGTACGTGTTTCTCATTCATAAACTCTGGAATTGGCTTGCCTAGGTTTTTTGGCTTAGTAGAATCTGAAACACTATCTATTGGTTCATGTTCAACAGGGAAGAGCTTTGCTTGAATTGAATCAAAGAAGGAGGTGTCAGGGCATGAGCTATACGAGGCTCTAACGACTGGTTGGATACTGCCTCCATTGAAGATGTCAAAGCCAGAAGACCTCGGCTGGCTGTTTGGTTCCAGGAAGACTGATGGATGCCAGACAAGGACTAGTGAAGGTCAATGCAACGACGTTCCGGTTTATGCATTGCCCTATACGGTGTCCTTTTGATACCAGAAGTTGGATGGAGATGGAGAATGATTCATCTTGGCTAAATTGCAAGTTTGGTTACTTGAATTGCTATTAAAGTTCACATTAGCCACTAGAATTACTTTATTTCATCCATAATCACTTAAATTAGGTTAACAGTCCAAGTTTGGTCACTAGTCCTTAGTCTCCGTTAATCTTTGCTGATGTGACTGTTAAATAAGTGTCGTGGCAATTAAAAAATTAATAAAAAATTAATTTTTTTTAATCTCCAACTAATTTTACACCCATTGACCAAAAAAAATCCGATCTACTTTTTCTTCACAAACAAACAAATACCACAGAGATCTTCTGCTAATCCAATCTCCAAAAGGAAGCGGAAAGCGGCGGCGTTCCTCTTGATCCCTTTCCTCCTCTGACGCCTCCCCTTCCTCCTTCTCTTCCCGACATGAGCACCGGGACGCCACGCCCGCCGCCGACTACAAATGCTAGTTTGGTAATGAAGTGAAGTGATTCGAGCTCAAGTCCAAGTTGACCATGTTCTTCAGGTTGCCAATTGAAGGTGGGAGCGATTTGAGGTTGTTAGCGTGGAGGTCCAGGTCGGTTATATTGATTAGCTCCCCGAATGAGTCTGGGAAATTCATCAGCTGGTTTGAGTGGAGATCGAGCTTGGTAACTGATTTGAGGTTGGAGATGGTTGGCGGGAGTGCAATGATTTTGTTCTCGGATAAGTCGAGCTCAGTGGTGGATGATAGTTTGCCGATTGAGGTTGGAAGCCACTCGATTTGGTCCATTAATTTGCCTCTGAGATCGCTTGTTTCAGCTCCTGATTTTGCAGAGTTCTCTATCATTGATGCCACCTTCAGCAAGCTTAGTTTCTCATTGGAATTCACTTCAGCTGCAAACAGTGAGGCAAAAACACAAACAATTGGGCATGCATCAAGCTCTACACGAAATTTTCGAGGAAAAAATCCCAAAATACACACGTTATTAAAAAATTTTCTCAAAATGCATACGTTATAAAAAATAGGCAAAATACACTTGAATAGCCAAAACTTTCACGTTTGTGCCAATAATAGCCAAATTCGGAGAAATACCACTTATAGTCAGCTTTTAAAGTTTTTGTTGGACAAATATAACCATTTCCGTTAGATACTTTAATAGTAACACCGTCAAATTCTTTAACGATTTACTGACTAGGCTCCTACCCAGCACAAACATCAGCGCCTAATAAGCATAAAATCACACATCATAATTTAAATTTATTTAATTACACTTCAGAAAATAATTAATGAAAATAAATATAAATAAAAATAATTAATTAATTTTTGCCCTTCCCTTTTCCACCCAACTTCCCTTTCTCTCTCTTATTGGCGTTGGTCTTCCTCACCGCCGCACCTCCTCTTCTTTTTCTTCTTCTTCTTTCTATTCCCTGAGAAGTTCTCCCCTCTGGCAACTCCAACTCCAACAATAGATGTCGGATCGTTCTCTCTCCGCACCAGCTCTAAATGAATAGCAGTTGCAACAAGGACCGACAGGGTCTTTGAGGGAGAAGGGGAAGCTGGCTTTATATCTCCTCGTTCCATATCCGGAAGATTTGTCGGCCTCCCGCCTCGCCGTCGTTACTCATCTCTCCTGTTGAAGAGTCTCCCGCTAACGTCGTCTTTGCTCGCCTCCCGCGACATGGACTGAATAGGATTATAGGAACGACAGAGAGGAGGAAGAAGGAGAGTTTGAAATAGCATTTATGGGCAGAGAGGCAGTTTCTTACCCAGCTTCTGCCGACGAGATATTCTAAATGACCAGAGCAGTCGATTGGACGACCCTGATTACCATCCCTCTGCGTCCAATTTCGACTCTCAACCACCACCATACCCCGATTTGATTATAGGGATTAGGGGTTTTGGCGAGAAGATTTTGGTTGACAGAGAATTTGATTGGGGAAAGAGTTGAAATAAGAGAAGTGGTGGCTTCGTTTGTGGGTAATCTTTTTGTTTTTGTTCGTGGATGGAGATGAGGAAATAAGAGAGAACGAGACAAACAGCGGCGACGATTTCGAAGATGGGAAGGGAATAGGCGGTGGTGAGGGCGGAGAATTTTTTAAAAGATTTTTTATTTAATTTATTTAAAATTAAAGATAAAATTTTAATTATTTCCACCTGTCATTATTTTGGAATATAATATGCCACATCAATCGTTTGCTATTAGTCCAGTCACCCTGTTAGATAACACCGTTAAAGTATTGGACGGAAGTGGCTATAAGTGGTATTTCTCCAAATTTGGCTATTATTGGCACAAACGCGAAAATTTTGGCTATACAAGTGTATTTTGCCTAAAAAATATTCCCAATGTACACATGTTTGGGCTTCACCGCAGCCATCAACCGCAGTGAATAACACCACCGCGGTCGTCAAACGCGATGAACGCTTCACCGCCATGGTCGGGAGCGGTGAATACTTCATGGACATTCACCACTGGTGTCCCACGCGGTGATGGCCAAAAGTACAACAACCGTCCCATATGATCATCGATACAAAGAGATCGATCGGAAGAAATGACAAGTTATAGAAGGCGGACGCTTTCATGGCTCCCATCCTCTGCTGCCGCGTTCACAGTCCTTCTTCTTCTTCTTCTTCTTCTTCTTGCCATGGCATTTGCTGCTCAACTCACCCACTTTTATACTCACATATATATAATAATCACATATTGTTTAATCATTAATGGCTGTGCCGATTACCCCTCTTCGGCCACCAACACCTCACCTTCCTCCTCAACTCCACCGCGGCCGACATCGACGAGGAAGAACAAGATCCGCGGCGTGCCGATTACCCCTCTTCGTCCACCAACACCACAGCGACGACAGCAGCGGCTTCTTCGTCTTCCTGCTCCTCCTTCTAGTCGTCATCTTACGAGAGCGGCGCCGCCGCGAATCGATTGAGATTGTCGGCCGCGATCGGGAGCAACATCGCGTTGGTGAAGGATTTGGATATCCGTACGATGATTTTAGGGACTCATGATGCAGATGAATGGCCATAACCGCGTGGAACGGTTGCTGTACTTTTGGCCATCACCGCTTGGGACACCAGCGGTGAATGGTCAGGAAGTATTCACCGCTTCCGACCGCGGCGGTGAAGCGTGCATCGCTTTTGACGGCAGCAGTGATGTTATTCACTGTGGTTGACAGCCGCGGTGAAGCCCAAACATGCGTAGATTGAGAATGTTTTTCTTATAACATATGTATTTAGGGAATATTTTTTAATAACGTGTGTATTTTGGGATTTTTTCCAATTTTCAACCCCATAAAAATGAAATCTGAAACCCAAGCTTTCCACAAGACGAGAAATCGAAACTCCGAAAAAAACCCAACTGAGAAGAAAGAAGCCCTAGTAGGGGGTGGCTATACGGTTTGGTCGGGTTAAATTGGTCCGAATTGATCCGGTCCCAGTCCAGTCTTTTCGGAAATATAAGGACCAAAGATTGGATTGGATACAGTCTGGTCTTGATCCGGTCAAGCCCCAATTTGGTCTTGATTTTAGATTGATCTTGTGGGGATTTGAGTGGCCTGAGGCATCAAAGGGAGAGGAGTTGGTTAAGTTTTGGGTGTTGGTGTCTCTTATCCGGTTTTCGATCCGGTCTCAAACGGTTTTTTTTACCTCAAATCTAACCCGAATATGAGATTAGATGGTTTGCTATCCAGTCCCAGTCCGGTCCGGGTTATACAGTCCAATTTTGGGTAAAACCAAACAGTACGGACCAAATAGCCAGCCCTAAGCCCTATTGGAAAAGCTTCTACCCAAAGCCTCGAGCTCATAAGTACCCAGTTCACCACCAACTTCAGCCAATTTCTCCGTCACAAGACTAGTTTCCTTGGCAATTTTGGCAACTAGGTCGTCGAATCTGGCCGATTTCTCCACCTGGGTATCGCCAAAGACAAGCAAAGAAGCTCGCTGGATCAATCCATCAATCGAAAAGCTCTGGTGGCAAGGCTGATGGGGCTGGACGACGACGACAGAGCAGCGACGGAAGCTGCTGGGAGCGCTGGAGAAATGTGACGAGGATTTGAAGGCGCTGAAGGAGATGATCGACGAGGTGAAGAAGAGCGTCAGTGGCGGCGGCTCAAAAGTCGGTGGTGATGGGTCTGCAACGGATTATGGCTCGTTTGGGGCGGCGCTGGCGGTAGATAATAGCAAAGAAGTCGACCTAGAGGAGCAATATCGGTGGCGGAGGTGATGGAAGAAGTGGTGTGGGTCAAATTGACATGACTTTTTTTTTGACAATGGGTGTAAAAATGAGTTGGAAATTAGAAAATTATAAATTTATTTTTTATTAATTTTTTAATTATCACGTCACTCATCTAATGGTCAACTATTAGAGTTACCGCCACATCAGCAAAAGTTAACGGAGACTAACGTCCAATGACCAAACTTAGACTGTTAACCTAATTTAAGTGATTAGGAATGAAATAAAGTAATTCTAGTGGCTAACGTGAATTTTACTAGTAATTCAAGTGACCAAACTTAGCCGATTCATCGTCAATTGCTTATGCATTCCCGGCTGTTCTCGAAGAGCTGGAATGTGCTGCCTGTACATGATGTAACTCAGCTAACTCACCATCGTAGTGAGAAAGAAGAGGGCAGCCCCGGCCCCAAACTGTGGATGTAGGCATAACTTGCCGAATCACGTAACAAATCTCGTGTCTTGTTTTGTGTGATTGCTTACTTCTTCTTCCTTTTTGACACTCAAAAGAGCTAACATATTTAAAAAACTAAATCCGTTAAGAGTTATAATGCGTAAATTAATGCCATAAAAAAATTAGTAAATAACTTTTGGAACTCTTTGTTAGGAATCTTCAATCGAACAGTTTGTACATAATTAGTGATGTGTCTACGGATCAAAATCCCGCTTCTACATTTGAACACAATTTACAGGGCAACATTGAATTTCCTCTAAAAATTAGATGTGTGGTTGAAGTTTAGTCGCGATTATTAAAATTGTTCTTCCTTTAAGTAGTCCTTCAGTTTTTTCCTTGGCTGGACAATGACCTTGCTGCCTTCTAACTCATCTTCCAAACCTAAGTCCAGCCACGAAGTGTCCAAAGAAGACTTGTAATCGTGCCTGGGGCTGGGAAGACTTTCATCGTCACCTTCCTCTTCATCGCTCGTCTTTGTTACACAGTTGACGTAGGAGCTCGTCCATTCTTTTCCGTATTTCTCCACTTTCAGAAGCTCAATGATCTGAAAACAATCAAAATATTATTAGGACATACCCCGAAAATATCAAAAAGAAAATATGTGACCTGGCTTCGCCACGGTTAACAATGCTACCTGGCTTGCGGTTGGACGCAATCTAGCTGAGGCTTTGGTGCAAAGGCTGGCTGCCAAAACCATTCTACCCAACTGGGACTCGTTCACTTGCTCACTCATTAACCTTGGATCAAGTAACCCTCTGTGATTCCCACTTTCCATCAATGGAATCGCCTGAACCATAAATAAACAAAAATGACCATATTCAGTTTCTTGATGAGCAAGCAATCCACATGGCAAATGTTTGACCGATCAAGTTAGTCGAACCGAAATTTGGGGAAACTACTCACCCATTTGACTAAGCTCTCCTGTGACGTTGAGCAATCTTTTGTGATAATTGCTTTCCTTCCCGAGACCAGTTCGAGCAAAACTATACCAAATGAGTAGATGTCTACTTTCTCACTCACCCTTCCATGCATGAAGTACTCTGGAGCTATGTAGCCAAAGGTCCCCACAAGGTCTTTGTTTGTCATGTGGGCTGATTTTGTTGGGCCCCATATGGCAAGCCCAAAATCTGATAACTGTTGAAGCAAGCAAGTACAAAACATGTTCAAAAGACTTGAAGAACTAATGGATGGGTTATTAGTCATAACGGGTTTGATTATGACGAGTTAGATTATTATAGCGCGATGAATCGTGAAAAATACTATATGATTTTTGGTGGGTAGTTGAATAACGGCTCGATATTTGACCGGAGTTGGAAAGAAGTAACGGATGGGTTATTAGTCATAACGGGTTTGATTATGACGAGTTAGTCTACTCCGGTCATATAATTGCATAAATCACATAGGAAAGAAGTACCTGTGGCTGAAGATCACTGGACAGGAGAATATTGGAAGACTTGACATCTCTGTGGATGACTGGCCTAGGACATTCTCTATGCAAGTAACTCAGAGCTTCAGCAACTTCAACAGCCACTCTGAACCTCACATCCCATGGCATTACAGCCTTCACACCATCATCTGAAGAGTGTAAAAAAAGCAAAGATTTACCAAACCAGTTACCAACCAAACTGTAAAAAAATGGCAGCAGAGTTAGTTACCTTGCAGGCTTTCCTCCAAGCTGCCATTGGACAAGAAATCATAGACCAAGATTAGAGAGCCTTCTTCAATGCAGACACCAATGAGAGGGGTGATATTTCGATGCTTTACTGAAGACATGATTTCGACTTCTAATGAGAAGTCATTCCAAGCTTCCTTGTAAGGCTTGAGAACTTTCACTGCAACTGAATTCCCATCAGGAAGGCAGCCTTTGTACACGCTGCTGCAACCTCCCTCTCCGACCAAGTTCCGCGAAGCGAAATCTCGAGTGGCTTTCTTCAGCTCTCCATGGCTGAACAGTTTGCATGCAGAGGATTTCAAACGAAGAACGCTGCTGACCTCATCATCATCATCATCATCATCATCATTATGATCAGAACAGATACATCCTCTGCAGTTAAAGTAAACTTTTGACTTCTGAACTCTTTCCTCATCAGTTCCAGATTCCTCCCAGAATTCTGATGCTGATGCAGGAGTCTTCCTTGGAGCCGACGACTGTCTCGAAAATGCAGAAACTAAAGTGTACCAAGATGATGAAGAAGAAGAGGATTCACTGATGCTGCTACATTTCCTCAAACTCGCTTGCTTCTGAGGCGGTTTTCTCCTGTGAAGCGGCCAGCCAAATGGGGACCCTGGAAGCTCTCTTTTGATTGCGGAGATTGTCCTCTCTGGAGCTTTCTTCCTTGGAGGTTCATCACCACAACAATGTTCCTTCGATTCATGTTCTTCTTCTGAGCCTTGAGCCACAAGGAACTTGGTTTTGCTGTCTTCATTTTGCTTCTGGTCAAGATACAGTTTCAGCCTTGTAGCCAACTTCAACCCTGAACAATGCCTTCTCAACACTATCTTCCTCCTGTGGGAACAAAAGGGTTTCCCCAATCAGATGAAATGAACCCATGAAGCCAAAATTGATTTGATTTCGTGAACTTGATCGATTTGATTTCTGGTACGAATTCGAACTACCCTGAACCCGGAACTTTACATCCAACGGAAAGCAAAGAGAGGGGAAAGAAACTGCATACCGGAGACCAGTTCCCTGGTCTATCCCCAAAATCACCGCCATGTCTGCATATTGCTGCTTCCGTCCATCAACTCTTGATTGGCATCTGGGCTTCAACTGTTCCATAACCAAAACCTCTTAGACCCCAATTTCTACTCACCAACCCCACCAGAATGAACCAGAAAAAGGAACCCAAAAAGGATATAATCAAAAGACACCAACCTTTGTTAGCAACCTCTTGCATCGGCAAGCTTTTTCTTCCAGCGAGCTCCCTATCAATTCACAATACGCCGCCATTAGCTCCAAGGCGATCACAGAAGTCTTTGCAGCTAAAAGGTAGTAGACTGCAGAGGCGACTATAGAATACCTGAGCTACTGAGCATTTGATAGCTGGTCTCGTTCTGTTCCTCCAGGAAAACTCCCTGGCAGAATTTCATCTTTCGATTTGCTTACTTGTAGAAAGAATCAGAAGCAGGGAGAACATATGAAGTTTGGTTCTGGTGTGCACCTAACTGAGCCGCCATGACCATTCTACAAAACCCGGCATTGAATTTTTAAGGGAGGGAGCAGAAAATTACAAGAGGGAAAGAGACAGAGTTACTAACGATTAAAGAACTGGAGGAAATATTCCCAGCCATCGTCACGCCAGCTGAAATTGGTCATGTAATATTAAAGAATTGTAGAGAAGCCCATATGATTAGAATGTCTTTTGGAGCTATAGGAACTAAGGTAGGAAGGAAGAGGATGAGGATTAGATGAGATTAGAGAGGAAAATAAGGATGGGGAATTAGACACGGGCCGTTCTTCATTCGAACATTTTGACCATCGTTTTCTGGCTTCATACAAGTAGGGTTTGGAAAATACTTGTGAGTGATGGTGAATACACCTATTTATTTTAAATGTACTAGCACCGGGCCCGCCCCGTTGGGCGGGTAACCTACGCATAATTGATCATTTGGTAAACATTGAAATATAAATCCAATTGAAAACAATTCGTTTGTTTTCGTAACTTCTAGCTAAACATTGTTGACCCAGTGAGTTTAGGTGGAATAATTGTATAGTTATAGATATGATATATATTAGAGATGCATGCAAGATATGATTTGTACAATTCTCTATTGGAAAACATCTTGCCAAGTTGTCAGACTATGAATAATGTGCCACAATATAGCTGAAAGAGTAGAAAATAATATAACATTCAAATAAGATACAACTAAGAGTCCATTGACTATCTATAACTAAGGCGAGCAATTTAAGTAAACTATATAGTTGAAAATTGTAGTTGTTTCACATGATAGAAAATGATAGAACATGCGTAATCAACCTCAAGTATGAAAGAAAATGATTGATCTCTAATAGAGATAAATAATTATTTGTATTTGTTTTACCATGAATCTTTTAATTCTACAAAACAATAGCCCAAATCCAAAATGTAAAGATGGGTCTATAAAATTAGGCAAACTTTGAAAACCCTTTCCCTTTACTACTCACTCGTTTAATCTGATCCGACCTTTACCCCAACCCCTTGAAAGCCCTTGTGAGCCTTGGTTTGAGTAGATAATTCAGTAAATAATTCTATGATCCTAAATAAAAGGGCAACTATAATTTATTTGTCAAACTTTTTAAACTTTTCAAATCATTTTTAATGATTTTTCAAATTATTAATCAAAATTTTCAAGATACAAAATATTAGGTAAATGTTAACTTTGTGTTTGCAATTTGTTAGTCAACATACTCGAAAAAGACATGTGGTGGTCATCATTTCAAAATTTTAGCATTTTAACTAATAAAAGAGTTACACTATTACTAACGCTAACAAACAAATGACTAATATTTTGATACATTACAAAAATTTAACTTGACAAAACATATACAATTTTTTGAAAATTTTAACTAATAAATTGTATTTACCTTTAACAAAAACAACACTCATGAAACAAAGTAGATAATTCACATAAAGGGCATATTTCTCCCGAGTTTGTTGTCAGGAGTTGCAGGCTTGCAGCAACATCCAATTGTTTCTCAGTCTTTTTTTCTGTCGCAACATGGTTTGAATGATGAGTTGTGGTTTGGGAGGACTCAATCCCACTAATAAAAGATAGAAGGATCCATCTTTGTGAAGTGGAAAATTCTTCAATTTGGCTGATTGATAATTTGTGAAATTAAAGGAACCATCCATTAGTAACAGAATACTACTATAACTAAGAAATAATAATTGTTGTGAGGAGTTGCAGCAAAATAATTTGGTTTACAGATATAATATGTGTGAGAAACACAAATGTTTGCCCCATGAAATTTATGCGATAAGGCACCGTATCTAGAATTCTGCATGTGATTTCTATTTAAATCAAAACAAAATCAAAACATAGATAGTTGACAAACATGTTATGCAGAGTTGTAAATTTGTGAGTCATTTAATAATCATAACATGAGTCTTTCTATACATGAGAACATGACATGAGATACATAACTAATGTGATACAAAGAACCTGATGAAATGTAAAGAATCATGACATGAGATGCATGTGGTTTCTATTATAGCGGACCAACTAATAATACCCAGTATCCCAGTGAAGCAAGTGCAGAGGTGGTTGTGAAACAATTGTTTAAAACATATATTCAAGGTGTACGGGGCATTTGTGATAACAATGGATCAATATGTCAAATTCTCATGTGGAAAAGAATGACAAAATGAAAAAACTTGGTAATTCGCTAAACAAATTATCAAAGGGGGAGTAAACTGGTTTTGAAACAATTATATAAAAAAGGACGTTAAAAACAAAACGAAATGAAAAATAAAACATTTGGCAGTGGCCATGCATATCACTATTGGAGAAGAAACAGGAGTAAAAAGAGAAATTTTACAATGCTATATAGTATTGGTGCTATAGAATTTTGCCTTTATTGTACAACTTAAAATTGTACATTTACGTTATATACAACTTCAGATTGTACCTATACTTTTTGTACAAATTCTTTTATGGTACAACTTGAACTTGTACCTTTATGTGATGGTACAACTTCAAGTTGTAAAGTTGTAACATAACATAATGGTACAAATTGCTTTATAGTACAACCTAAACTTATACATTTAATGTTATGGTACAACTTTAAGTTGTACATTAAAGCACCAATACTATATAGCATAGTAAAGGTGCTCAAGTAAAAAACGTGCAAAAAACTTACATCCACCTTATGTAATTGATCGACTAAAACTTTATGATTTTTTTTGAAAGAGAAAAACCCCTTATGTAGATACTTCTTTTTTTTTCCATCCTTTTTCGCTATCGTAGCAGGATGGATAAGAAATCCCTTCAAATCACCATGTTTTAATAGATGATGAAGTTAGTTTAATTAAGTTCATAATGAAAAGGCAATCATCATAATACATCTAAGAAAATCAATAAACGTGAATAATTTGAGATGGTATGAGTTAATAGCGAAACAAATATGTCCTCGCCGTTTAATCACCTTTCAGAGTCGATAATTCCATCAATAAGCTTAGAGGACTCTCTCTTTTCTCCATATCTATTTTGGTAAAGAAATTCATCTCATCCTCAATTTCAAACTTTTTTACTTATTACAAATTATAAAATATAATATAAAAATATCATCCATTTCGTAAATTTTCAAGTTAAATTGGGTTCTTCGAAAATACACATGATCACTTTGAATTGATAATTTGTAGACTTCATCGTTCCACATCAAACACAACGATATTTTACATTTTTTCAATTCATGGATCGTACAATATAAGTTTTTATCCACGCCTAACTAAATAAGCCTTTGTATTCTAAAGTAAATAAAGCTAAAATGTGTATAAGAACGTGTTAAAAACTCAAATTATAATGAAAATACCAACAACAAAAAGGAAAAAATTCAATGAAAATAAGGATTGAAATACTGTCTCGGAGGTTGTACTGGAAAACTCAGCGGTTAGATATTTTATACTAAAAACATGATTTAACTGTTGTTCAACCGTTTCATACTGCTAATTACTGTCTACTGATTTAATCTCAGGTAGATAATTTTTCTAGTCGAACCGCCGGTACGATACAATTTTTTCAATCCTTAGTTAGGATAGTTTTCTACGATAAGTCTTTGGGACGGTGGAGGAAGTTAATAAGGCCAATTTTTTTTTTTATTATGACTAATAAAACCATTGTTAGATGTAGGCATGTGGCGCTTTTGGCTATCATTGTAAGCAGATGGCACTCATGCAAATATCTTTGATACATTGAACATCGAAAAGAGAAAATTGCATATAAACCTATTAACTGCAATGAATTCAATTCAATAAGATATGAAGAAATTCCGGTCCTTGTCATTTGATTCATGCCTATAATCCCTCCACTAAATCTTTCTTCTGGCCAGAGGGTTATTTGAGGAGAAATGGAAGAAGATCCGGACAATTGCGAGCATGCAACAACTGACTCTATTTCTCTTCTCATTTCGATTCCAGCATCACCCGTGTTTCCTACCGACAGCTTGCTTCATCAATGTGGGACCTTCCATTTTTAGATTGTATCAGAGGGAATGGCTTTATTGAGGAATCTGAAAGCAAATTAGATGGAGATTGGGTAAAGATGGGGAAGAAGGCGGTGACCTGAGCTCCTTCCTACTGTATTCGTTAGCCACCGCCGGCGAGGATTGTAGGGCTGAGGGTATGTTTTGTACAGAGCTTACCAGGTCAATGTCGGCAGAGGGGGTTGATGGTCGTTGTCGGCAGAGGAAGAAGGTGGAGTTTGGGCCAAATGGGCCGACGGAGTTTGGGCCAGAGCCTGTTGGCGTGCGACAACAACTTTTTTCCATGGACAAAACGATGCGCATGATTTAGTGTAACCGAGAGAAAATGACTAAATCACCCTTCCGACAAACCCTCTGGGGGCTGGAATTTTGAATCCCTGCAAACTCAACCCTTGTTTTGGCTTCATATATCTTATAGATTACTTAAATCATTATACAAACCGTGATGGCACACAATGATTCTAGCCTAACATTATCAGGTAAGGTAACTCTTGAAAATGATACATTATACTGTCCCTTTTCCTGCAAATCGTCAAATGATTAGGGTGTGTTGCTGGTGTCGAGTGCGAGATGCCGGCTTCGCGTGCTGCTTAAATTAGTTCCTGCAAACCCTAGAACGACCTTTTGGAAAGATCAAGTGAGTTTGGGAAGAAATGATCTTCTGATCGAAAATGCACCAAGAAGCTAAGTGTGTAAGTGTTGTTACGATAGAAAGACGACTCGTCGTATTGGGCTTGATTTACCAGGCCCGCTACCGTTTCACTAACCCGCGTACTGCCTGCTGCTTTAAAACGACCTACTTTACCTTTACTCTACTGCTTCTTCTTCTTCCTTCTTCCGAACTGATTCCCCTGTGCGAAATATACACACCTGACATTG